GCTGGGCTGGGAAACAGCGGCAGGAGCAGGGGCCGAAAGGGCTTTGGGCAGGGGTTAGGGCGCCCCAACTTCCGAGATTCCCGTTGATACCGGCCCCCTTTTGTTCCAGTGAACAGAGAAAGAGGTCTCCCGCTGAGATTAGACTGAAGGAATTCAGACATAAATCATCATCAGTATCATCTTCACCAGTCATCATCACCGTGACCACCATCGTCTGGGCTGTCTTTTTCTGATGACAAAACTCATTCAGGGTACATGAAAAACAGGGAAAGTCTGAGAAACTGTCACAGACCAGAAAAGCCTGGGGAGGTGGGACAACTCAGCTTGATGTGCTACCCTGGGGAGGTGGGACAACTCAGCTTGATGTGCTACCCCGCATTGGATCCTGAAACAGAATGAGAGTGTTCATGGAAAAACTGGTGAAATCCAAGTCAAGTCTGAAGTTCATTTTATAGTGGTGTTTCCATGTTGGTTTCTTGGTGGGGACAGGTGTGCCATGGTTATGTAAGATGTTAACAGCAGGGCAAACGGCATGGGCTATACTGTGATGTCGTTGCCACTTTTCTGTAAGTCCAAAATTGTTCCATAATAAAAGGGCATTAAAGAAAAAAATGTATGAAGGATCGTAAGAACAGCTTAAGAGATTTTCTTAAGAGAACAAGAACTGTCTTTTGGTTAAGATGTGTGCTCTTGACATGACTTGTAATTGTAAAATTTAAGTTAAATCTATGCTTAGTCTGCATTTTGTTACAATAAATTTGATGTTCTAATTTTTCTAAAGCAGAATTAATGTAGGTTTATTGTAGAAATTTTGGAAAATACAGAAAAACACAAAAAAGAAAGTTATCCCACCACCCAGAGGCAACACTAATGTCTTGGTGTATATATTTCTAGTCTTTTCATAACTCTTCAGAGACATAGCTCTTTAGAGACATAGCTTGCTTTACTTAATATTTTGTAAACGTCTTCCCATATTCTTCTTCTTCTATAACATCATTTTAAATAGCAGGTTGTACTCTGCTTTATCTAGCCAATCCCCTAGTGTTAGATGATGAGCATTTTGTTTTGTTTTGTTTTGTTTTGAGTTGGAGTCTCACTCTGTCGCCAGACTGAAGTACAGTGGCACAACTACGGCTCACCCACAGCCTTGACCTCCTGGATCCGGCGATCCTTCCTCCTCAACCTCCTGAGTAGCTGGGACTACAGGCATGAGCCACCATGCCTGGCTAATTTTTTTTATTTTTGTAGAGACGAGGTTTCACTATGTTGCCTAGACTGGTCTCAAACTTCTGGGCTCAGGCGACCCTCCTGTCTTGGCCTCCCAAAGTGCTGGGATTATAGGGGTGAGCCACCAAGCCCAGCAGGGTCATTTTTATTTATTTTGGTATTATAAATAATTCTGTCATGAACATCCAGGTACATAGTCTTTGCACATGTCCATGAATTCCTAAATTCCTAGAAGCAAAATTGTGTGTGTGTGTGTGTGTGTGTGTGTGTGTGTGTGTGTATGTGTGTGTGTGCATTCAGATTTCCCCAACAAAAGATTCTACCAAACCAAGCATGGGAGACTTCTCATGCTCTCTTGTCAGCTGGATTTTTAAAAAAATATTTGCCAGCCAGGCTTGGTGGCTTAGCCTGTAATCCCAGCACTTTGGGAGGCCGAGTCAAGTGGATTGCCTGAGCCTGTGGGTTCAGGACCAGCCCGGGCAACTTGGCAAGACCTTGACTCTACAATAAATAAAAAATTAGCCCGGTATGGTAGTGCGCACCTGTTGTTCCAGCTACTTGGAAGGCCGAGGTGGAAGGATCACTGAAGTCCAGCAGGTTGACGCTGGGGTGACCATGAACATGCCACGATACTTCAGCCTGGGCGACAGAGTGAGACTCTAACTCAGAATAAATAAATAGAAATTTTTAAAAATTGTGCCAATTGAAAGTCCAGATTTGCAAAAGCCATTAATGCCATATATAACACCTGAAGCTGAGCACCTGATCAGGATGCTTGGAACTCCAGTGTGGCTGTCCTGCACTGCCATGGGGTACCCGGGTGCCCCCACTCCCTTGGCAGAGAAGCATCCTGCTTTGAAGACAAAGCTAGACACTGCATGAGCAATAACAGCAATAGGGGTCATTAATTATGTGCCTACTCCAGCCAGTGTCTTCAGTGTCTTTAATCATTGTTTTTTGAATCATTGTTTTTTTGCAAGGTGGATATTGTAGCCACATCCTACAGATGAAAAAGTTGAGTTCTCAGATTGGCTAAGGAACTTGCTCAAGATTGAAACCCTGGGCTGTCTGGTTTCAAAGACTGTAGTCTTTCCATCAAACTGTGCCACTGGTTCCCTCTGGCCGGAGCTAGAAGGAGGGTTGGGTCTCAGGCGTGTGTATTCACTACCCAGGAGAAAGGCATTTATCCCCACGGCAGTGGGAGTGAGTGCAGGGAGGGAGACAAGGGCTGGGTGGGGAGGCTGCTGCAAGGACACTCGTGGACTCTAGATTCCACAGAGGAGCAGTGTGATTAGGGGTTGGGGGACAGTGGGTGACATGGCCTGAGGCTTGGGCTGGAAAGGAGCAGGTGGAAGATCTGCTCACCAGGTTGCTCACCTATTCCCAGGATAGGGAAGCAAGGTGCCATGTACATTGTAAGATCTGCCTTACTGTCCTGTCTAATCCGGGCCTCCTCTAGAGACCCCAGCTCCAGGACTCTTGGGGTGCTGGAACCTGGGCCCCATGTGGGGACTCCTTGCTGGACCTGAGGGGTGAGGCACAGGGTCCAGGAGTGAGATGTTGACTGGTCTTGGAGAGGCTCAGTGAGTCAGACTTGGAGTCACAGCCGGGTGTGGTCACCCACAGCCAGCACAAGAGGGCTGTTTGGTCTTGACCTTCACATTTGGTAGGGAAAATTACAAATGAGAAGATTCAGACTGCTAAGGAGACACCACAAGTTTGAAGGAGGACACTGTTGTTAGATGGCCTTTGTCTTGGGTTCTTTTTTAAAAAATTATTATTTTGAGTAAGAGTCTTACTCTGTTGCCCAGGCTGGAATGCAGTGGCACGATCACAGCCACCGCAGCCTCGACCTGCTGGGCTCAGGTGATCCTTCCGCCTGAGCCTTCCAAGTGGTTGGAACCACAGGTGCATGCCACCAGGTCTGGCTGATTTTTTTAATTTATTGTAGAGATGAGGTCTCGCCAAGTTGCCCAGGCTGGTCTCAAACCCCTGGGCTCAGGTAATCTTCTTGCCTCTGCCTCCCAAAGTGCTGGAATTGCAGGCATGAGCCACTGCGCCTGGGTTTCTATTTTTTTTGAGTTGGGGTCTCACTCTGTTGCCCAGGCTAGAGTGTAGTGGCACGTTCACAGCTCAACGCAGCCTTGACCTCTTGAGTTCAGGTGATCTTTCCAACTCAGCCTCCTGAGCAGCTGGGACTACAGGTGAGTGCCACTACATCTGGCTAATTTCTTAATATGTTGTAGAGACAAGGTCTTGCTATGTTGCCCAGGCTGATCTCGAACTCCTGGGCTCAAGCAATCCTCCCACCTTGCTGTCCCAAAGTTGGGTCAGATTTCTGAACACCTCAACCCATATAGGTCACCACAAATTAACTTTCAAAAACAAATCCTATCATTGTTTTGTAAATGACAAGTACAGTTACAGTGAATTACTCTTTGGTGCCTAAAACAAATAAACGAATATTTATTTAACATATTAAGATTCCACAGTGTTTAATCCTTTATAGTTTTCCTTCCCTTTTTCATTCCAGAAAGCTACGAAATCTCTTTTGATCTCAGTGAGTCCCTGCAATCACTACCCAGGGAATGAGCCCAAGAAGTTTCTTCTAGTCCAGTAATCTCTTAATGCCTTTCCATGTGGCATGACCAACTGTCAGGGTCTCCACAGCCTAGGGTCTGGGTGGCCCAATCCCCACAGAATGGGGACGCCAGGGGGAAAATCAGACACTTGAAGTCTTAAGCAGGTATGTGACCCTGGGCAAACTGCTAACCTCCCAGAGCCTCTGCTCTCTTACCTGTAAAATGGAAGAGTAATATCCTAATAGGATCTTGGGGAGAATTCTGAGATAGAACACAGTGAGGAGCCCAGCACAGTGCCCGGCATGTGGCACACACTTAGCACCTGTTTTTCCGCCTGGTGCCTAGAACAGTAAAAACGTATGTGTCACTTGAGATTCTCCAGAGAAAGCTTGAGGCATCAAGACAGGCAAGTGTGGACTGATGGAAAGATGGCTGCCCTAAAATCTAGGTCCGGTGTCTGCCTCCCTTCACTGGCCGATCTTGACCACATTCTTAGCCTTCTCCTTCTCTAGGCTTGAAGTCTCCCTTGTAAAATGAGGGGCGTGAATGGGTCATCTCCAAAGCCACTTCCGGCTACAAGAAGCCTCCGGCCCAGGGGAGCCTGCTCCCTCCACAGCGCCCCCCACTCACGTTCAATCTTCTCTTGGATTGGACAGGCTGAGTGGCATTGCTTCACAGCTGCCTCCAGCTCTGCCAGGACTTAAGTCACCCAGGAAAGGCCTTGTCCTCGACCCTGGAGTGATGCACCCACACTGCTTCATCCACATCCTGTGGGGAGAAGCTGCTGGCTCCTTCATCTGCTTCCTCGGCCTCTCCTCCCAGCATGTCTCTTCCTCCTTTCCACAGCCTCCCCTTTTTTCCTCACCCAGCAGCCTCTCAGTCACATTGCCCGCGGCACCTGTCTCCTGCATGAGGTACCTCATCCCTCCACACACTATTCAAGAAGGAGAGACCAGAGACAGCAGCAGCAACTGCAAACATCAGCTCTATGGGCTCTACAGGCCCAGTGACTCGAGGTCTGAATTGTTTATTTTTGAGTCAGGTTCTCACTGGAGTGCAGTGGTCCGATCACAGCTCATTGAAGCCTCAACCTCCTGGATAAGGGTGATCCTTCTG